AGCCTTTAGTTTCTCGAGCTGTTTCCGAAGATAAGCTTGTTTGAGTTTGTCCCGACGATTTGTCGCCTGCTCTTGTCTCTTCTGCTTCAACACAGTCGCTTTTTCTCTCGCTTGGTTCACTTCCTCATGAACCTCCCTGTAAAGCAAAGATTTTTCATTACATTACAGAAAATCATAGAGAGATATATGTTGATTCCCTCTTTCTATTAGCTATATTAACCAGACAAGAGAGTACTGGAGAAAGAGGACAATGGAATTTACCTGACCATACGCACATGTTGACTCATATCAACTGTTCCAATCGTGCGTCCAAGTCCAGAAAATTTAGTACTAAACAGCAAACTATCGTCTTCACCATCTGCTTTTAAATCTTCAGGAGGTGCTGAAACAGAACTGTTACGCGTACTTGACGGTTGTGAATCTTCTTCATGTTCAATTCCTTTCCTAAAGAAATCGACACAGTACTTCTCTTCCGCTTCTTCGTCTGAAACCTCTCCCCTTGCAAGTTTTTCATATAACTGAGCCTTTTTCTCCAATGCGGCGTAGCTAACTGCTCCATCTTTAACTGCTTTAAGCTCCAGCTTGTCCCTATCATTTCACACATTCAAAAGCAACTATCAAAATTAGAACAAAGGAAAGTAAAATCACTACTCATGAAAGCTGATATCGATGATCCTATCGTCTTAAACGAATTCAGACCATAGCGAAACACCGATTTGAGATACGCAGCCAATTTGAGATTCTTCCTCTAGCATAACACAATCTCAAATCCTACAGAATTTGCTTAATCGATTTTCAATTTTAGACCAATAAATCTACTTCCAATCTTAATCAGATTGCTAGATAGAACAACTAAAGATCAAACCCTAATTCCCAAATCTGAAACTCTTCTACAGAATCTCAATCAAACCCTAATTCCCAAAATCATCTCGTTTCACCAAATTGATAACGAAAGGATGATTGAAATTTGATGAAATCTCAGACTTACTTTAGAGCACGACCTTCGACGCCGGAATTCTTCGCGGAGAAAGAATCTTTAGCGGCAATTCTTTCCTTGGCTCGATGGTAATGAACATCAGATCCAGTAAAATCCTTCGTTTGTTTAGCTTCTTCCTGGGACTTATAGAGCTGAGCTTTAAGCTCCATGATTGAAGAAGGACCAACACCTTCGATGGCTCGATGCTTCTTCGGCATTATCGTAGATTCCGTTAGCCATCCCAGTGATTCAACGACCACTC